ATATATATATATATATATATATACATGCATATACAAATATACATTTATAAATAAATATATATATATATACGTATATACATTAATATATATATATATATATAAATATATATATATATATATAAATATATAAATATATATATAAATGTATATATTTACCCTCTCTGGCGTCTTCTTCTTCTTTGGGTCTGAGCATCTGTTCGTTTTCTTCGTCTTCATCTTCATCATCTTTATTTTTTTGTTTCTTAGCAACAGTAGAGGCTGCTGCTGCTGCTGCTGTAGGGGGTTTGGATGCGGGTTGACTGAGCCTTTCTCTGCAAGCAGCAATGATCTGCTGCGCTGCTGCAGCAACAACAGCAGCAGAGACACGCTGTAGCTTCGCATCATTAACAATATCATCCATCCGTCTGTCTATGCATCCATATCGTAGCAGCGCTCTATACAGCCGATGCTGCTCCTTAGGAGTTAGCTGCGTAGGGTTAAGAAGACGAGGTCGCCTTCCTCTTCGGCCTCGTGTTGCTGCTGCTGCACCTCCTGCAGCAGCAGCAGCAGCAGCTGCTGCTGCTGCTGCTGCTGCCCCATCATCTCCCTCGCCTAATGAAGATCCTCCTGGATGAAACGCCGATCCTCCAGCGTTATAACTGCTGCTGCTGCTACCTGCTGCTGCTGCTGCTGCAGCATCGGGGCTATCGTCGCCTCTGCTGCTGCTAAGACTCCAAGCAAATAAAGCATTTCTCGTCTTTCTCTTCCCATGAATAATTAATTTATCTTCTGTTTGTCTTTTAAATTTAGTTCGTTCATTTGAAGGTATACACTGAGCCCAGAACTCTGCATCATCTTCCTCCTCAGCAGCAGCAGCACCAGCAGCAGCAGCAGCAGCAGCAGCAGCAGCATGGTTTGAAGGCTCATATTTAAACTCCTGTATATTTTGATATGATGAAAGCAAAGCATCAGCAACCCCTCTCTCTGATGACTCTGTTACTGTTACTTCTGCTTCTGCTAAAATTGTATCAAGATCTACCTCTGCTGCCGGTTTTTCTGCTGCTGCTGCTGCTGCAGCAAACTCTCCGAACCCATCTCCTTCTCCTGCTGCACCTGCTGCAGCAGCACCACTACCCCCATCACCGTTACTACTACTACTACTACCGTCACCACCACTATTGCTGCTGCTGCTGCTGCTGCTGCTGCTGCTGCTGCTGCTCTCATCCTCGCAGCCTTTCGGTTTACTTTGATTCCACAGCTTCGTGGCTCCGAACTTCAAAATTTTGCTCAAGTCTTCTCGAGAGAAAGACACGCCCCCGCTGCTGCTGCCTCCAGATAAGCTGCTGCTGCTACCCCAGTCTACGCTGCGTTTGTTCAGGCCCTGCAGCAGCAGCAGCAGCAGCAGCAGCAGCAAATATACAGCAACAGCAATAACAGCACCATAAACAAAAGCAGCAGCAACAGTATCTACAGTATGATTAACAGCACCACCAGCATTATCAACATAATCAGCAGCAGCAACAGCAGCATCAACATAACCAGCAGCATATCGAGCAACAGCAGCAGCAGCATAAAGAGCATAACGAGCAGCAGCATAACGAGCAGCAGCAGCATAACGAGCAGCAGCAGCAGCAGCATGACGAGCATAAAGAGCAGCATAACGAGCATAACGAGCAGCAGCAGCATAACGAGCATAACGAGCAGCAGCAGCATAACGAGCATAACGAGCATCAGCAGCATAACGAGCAGCATAACGAGCATAACGAGCAGCAGCAGCAGCAGCATAACGAGCATAACGAGCAGCAGCAGGAAGAGCAGGATAACGAGGTGAAGCAGCAGGATATGGATAAGAAGGAGGTGGAACGGCGAACCTGAACAACAAGAGTATCTAAGACCATCTTAGCCTTTGCTCTCTCTAAGATTGTTTGTTCAATCGAGTCCTTCGTCACCAGTCTGTATATCTGCACTGTCTTCTTCTGCCCGATGCGGTGTGCTCGGGCTTCTGCTTGTAAATCGTTCTGAGGGTTCCAATCTATAAACAAATAAATAAATAAATAAAATAAATAAAATAAATAGAATAAATAAATAATAAATAAATAGAATAAATAGAATAAATAGAATAAATAAATAAATAGAATAAACAGAATAAATAGAATAAATAGATAAATAAATAAATATATATAAGTATATAAATAAATAAATAAATAAATAAATATATAAGTATATAAATAAATAAATAGAATAAATAAATAAATAGATAAACAGATTAAATAAGCAGAATAAATAGATAAATACATATATATATATATTGTTTTATTTAATTTATTTAGTTTATTTAATTTAATTATTTAATTTGTTTATTTGTGCATTTGGATGTTTATTTACTGCGGTTGACTTTGTTTTATTTATTTTAATTTTTTTTTACTTTGATATCTTTCATTCAGCAGCAATATATATATATAAACTAAGTCTACAGATATATATAGATATATTTATTTATATATACATATATTATATACAATATATATATATATATTAAAATATATGAGTCAAAGACAATAACAGTACATATATATACATATATATACATATATATACATACATCTATAGATATAAATATAAATATATATAAATATAAATAAATATAAATATATATATAAATATAGCTATTTATATATCAAATGAATTATAAGAAAGCGCTGCTGAAGAAAGGATTGTAGGGTGCAACTACCTGAGTCGAAGATAATAACAGTATCAGCAGAAGTAAGGTTAATTCCTAGTCCGCCGGCCTTTGTAGATAAAAGAAAACAAAAGTCAGAGCTGCACTTAGCATTAAACTGCTCCATCGCCTTGCGACGCACTTCCTTCGCCATCGTACCGTCCAAACGCTGTAAACATTAACAAACACAAATATTTATATTTATTTATTTATTTATTTATATATGTTTATATATATAGGTTTATATATATATGTTTATATATATATATATATATGTTTATACATATATATATGTGTGTGTGTTTATATATATGTTTATATATGTTTATATATGTTTACAATAGTATATATATATATATATATATATATATATATATATATTATATTTATGTATA